AGAGACGGTCCCTGAAACGTCGGGTTTTATTGTTTGACCGTTTGAAGCGGCTGATCACCTGAGAAGATTTTATTGAGTTACGCCACTGTGAAAGCTTCAAATCATAGATTAAAACATAATTACAAATAATAAAGTAAAAATGATATAAAAACCATCATACAACTCAACAAGCTGCAATATTAATTAATAAAACAGCCAATAGAGTGTACCTGATGTTTAGAAAGGCATTGCTCCTGACGCTAACAGTAAAGTAGTCTGCAGTGGTGAGGATGTCAATACCATGAGGAAATGTTCCCTGTCTCCCAACATTCTCTTGGAATGCAGCCGAAGCTGCTCTCCGACAATTGATCTAAATATGGAAAACAGAACCAAGACTGTTTACACTATTGTTGTGACATCTATGTGATCCACATGATGCTGAAGTACAACGTTAACACCTATTAGGATGAATATCGAGTAATAGTTCAGCGGCAGATTATAATACTTATTCAGTATTAATATCTTTCTGAACTATTAAACAAAATCAAACTCATGGAATCAATACTGAATGCACTTTGGCATTCTAAATACCCCTAGCTACTCTGAATAGTTTTTATCACTAAATAAACACACACATAAATTTTTGCCTTTCTGCTTTACTATTTAATTCATTTACCAGTCGAGGCCATTGAAGGTAGGGAAGTCTGATAACATACCGCTGAGATAATCGTACTTTGCTATTCTCCTACTAGCTTGATTTTGTTTTTTATTAATGTACAAGGATTACATTAGCAATCTTACAAACCAAATTATTTCAGCGGTACGTTATCATACTTCCCTACCTTCACTGGCCTCGACTGACTCAGGATAACATTGGAGGACATGATTCCTATTCGAAAGTTGTTCTCTCCGAGTCCCTCTATACGCTCCTTCATTTTTTCAGCAACCTTTTGAATCACCCTGTGTGTGTGTGTGTGTGTGTGTGTGTGTGTGTGTGTGTGTGTGTGTGTGTGTGTGTGTGTGTGTGTGTGTGTGTGTGTGTGTGTGTGTGTGTGTGTGTGTGTGTGTGTGTGTGTGTGTGTGTGTGTGTGTGTATATATATATATATATATCAACATCTCTTCTAACCCAATACTAGAAAGAAAACTATTAATTAAACAAAGTACTTTATCATCCTCACCAAGGAAGAATAATAATAATAAAAAAACACACCCAGAAATCCACATGCATTTCACTGTTGTTAGCCTTTATCAAAGCATCCTAGGTTGACATCCCTCCTTAAAATTAATTTATATATGGTACTTATCTTTGATTTTTTACACTGTTGATTTCCATCTTACGGACTATGAATATTTGACATCAACCTCTTTTTAATCTTTAAAGTTTGGCTAGTTTCACATGTTAGGCTGATACAGCTAATCCTATTTATCTGGCTTTGGCTCTCAGAGGGCTGTTATGGCACGGATTATTATTACACACCTAGAGCCACCTACTCATTCTATTAATCTAAATTATTTTCTTATGAATCATGGTTTACTCTATTAAATTTTGTGATCTGATACTGGTCTCCTGGGTTATTTCACTGTGTAGCCACGTGGTTGTAACCAATGTTTTAGACGGTTTAAATGAGAAGCTGGTGGTTATATATGGTTGGATGGAAGATCAGGACCAGTCTTGAACAAGAAGTACATTCCATCAAAACATTGCTACAGCTGGGAGACAAAACAGCGTAAGAACCCACAAGTCCACTCTCTAAACTCAGATCACTGTAAAAAATCTGAAATCTCACATAAAATAATCATATCATCACACGTACCATCCTAATTCTTTTGTCATTAAATTTCAAGCTCATAAAAATGAATTTGCAATGAACACTTACCTCTCTGTCAAACACCGCCGTCACCAACAAGGCTGCTGCAATATCCTTCACAAATGGTTGCAGTACAGTAGTGTCATATGCTCTTGCAAATGCCCAGCAGACATAGCACGCAGCATCACGGATGTGGGTTCCCACTGACGCATAGCCTCTTGGTTCATCGTACACCAGAGCTTTAAGTATCACCGGTACCACTTCAACAAGTCGCTGTGGTAGAAGCAGTCCCCTGCGACCCAACTCTGCCAGAGCCAAGCATCCTCCGTGCCATGCCCCATCAGACTCCCGTATATTGAACAGTTCCAGAACTGAACCGACTACATCGTCTGCCAGTTCTTTGGGAAGTCGTCCTGTTACTCTACCGATACCTTTTGCAGCTGACCACCTAAAATATAACATGACTGAAAATAATACCTCTTTCAAGAGCTGAAACTGTCAGTCGCATATGAGAAACTTTTACTGGGTTTACAATATATCTGAACCACATACTAGTATTATCATTTTAACATCCTACCCTTCTGTTATTGTGATCACATTGAACGCAGGAATTCTATGTTAGTAGTAAAGTACATATTTGGCTGTGGAGAATATTTGGACTGAAGACTGGAGGAAGTTGCATTATGATGAGCATCATAAGTTGTACTCCAAGTTAAACAGGATGAGATGGGCAGGACATGTAGCCTGCATGGGAAAGAAGAGGAATTCATACAGGGTCTTGGTTCGCAAAACAGAAGGAAAGAGACCACTAGGAAGACCAAAACAAAGGTGGGAGGATAATATTAAAATGTATCTAGAGAAACAGGATAGGAATCAGCTGGCTCAGAACCATCCACATGTGCAGACACTGTGAATGTTGTTCACAAGGCAAGTGACAGCAATTCAGGTAAATCTTTGCAATGATTAATGCATGAGGTAGATGCACCCTGAACACATTTTAATGAATTATACATAAATAATTTATATTGCTGTTGATGCTTGTCTTCTGGGTGAAACAAGTTGACATGAAAGTAGAATTCAGAGAGATACATACTGTCCCCATCTTCAGGGCCATGACGACCGCAAATCTCATAAACTAAAGTTGTTTCTACACCATTTACAATATACGATTCAATAGAGATTGTAAACAGTGTACTTTTGCATGAAAAAATTAAGGATGATCTCTGAAAAGGCAGATCTTTACAGATAAGGCAGTTTTCCATGAGAGCGGTAGGGCCAATAGGCATAACACAGTTGAGTGGGTTTCAGAAAGCCCAAACTCCACTCTCTTGGGACTTTTCTTCTGGTCTGAGGAAACAGTTCATTCATTTGCATACTAGTTTCTGTTTGAACAGCACCACAAATTCAATATAGCGGGAAGCACTGTTTCCCTCCTGCGATATATAATTTCTTGGAACTGACATCTGGCAATAACTGAGGCTACAGGGAGGTTCTAGCATTCAAATTCCCAGAATCTTGCTACATAATTTCTTCTTTGCATGCTAGTGCCTACCATGTAAATGCAAAATAACTAATGTTATTGTTGTAAGTGTGGCTCTGAGATCTTTGCATTGAGTCCAAGCTGTTAATGTGGTTACTGTATTTTCTGTGTGAACTTGAAAAGATTAAAAGGGGAAGTAGTTATTGTTCACTTCAAGCTATTTCGGAATCACTCACACACAGTAACAGAGGAAAACTACAAAAATCCTTAGTCATATTAGTAGTCTGTGCCATATCTGAGATTCAAACTCGGCACCATTCACATACCAACCACAATCGTCACCACCAGGTCAGGTCAATATCAGTGCTGCATTTATTTATTTATTTTTATGTGCAGCACAAATAAATATAAATGAATCTGTGCTACATAAATAATTATTTTATCCCAGGAAGCAGAGAAAAGTTTTGTTTTTGTCTAGCATGCATTGTGAAACAATTCTGATGCTACACCTGTACAAATAAAGTGCTAAGTACTGTTTATCAGTGCAATGGCAAAGAATTCTGAGAACAGAAACAAGAGCTCGCATTATTTGAACCAGCGATTCGAAGTTTGACTGTCTGTGCATTTGCATCAGTTTATCTTCACTGCAGCATTCATAAAGACATCAATCTGGTTCCTTTATTACCGAAGGTTGTCATTCTTAAGCTATGATACAGTTCTCCGATATTTCAAAGATGGAAAAAAGTGGGTTGAAAATGAAAAATGTACCTAAACTATGCTGTCAAGCTGATGATTTCAAAACTCTGCTATAGGGGAAACATTATACATCCTTAATAGTCTACAATTTGATATAAAATTGTAGGTTAAAAACTGCAAAAATAAACCACAATTTATTTTATGATTTTCCACACTTTAAAGCATTTTAATTTGATTGAATTTGGCCACATGATGTTGGGTGAGTAAATTTAAATTCCCTTACCTTAAAGGTTAACAATGCTTTCTAATCTACATAGATTATGTAACATTAAATTGTAGGATGTGAAAGGTAGAAGTCATGGCCTAACTGAAGGCACTGTAAACTAAATCTGCAACATTTGGTTTCATTGCTCATGGCCCTGAAAGACCTACCTAATTACAGTATCAGAGTCTCTGAGTCCCTGTACCAGTTCTTCAATCACCTCCTCAATTCCATCAGGTATTTCAAAATCCTCATCCAATTCCTCTTCATTCTGCAGAACTGAGTTCAGTGGCGATGGCTCAGGTGCTACACCATCCCCTGCACTGAGATTTGCTGCAAGAGATCTGCCACCACGTTGGTATCGCCAAACTGCCACACGCATCTTTAGAAATATCAGACCTTTAGACAGAAACACATTCAATGACAAAATAAAGCAAACAGTTTAGGCAACAACATATGACATCTAGTACCATCTGAACACTCCACATTTGTATGGTGAGGCTAGCAACAACTTAAAAGTAACAATTATTGAATTTACTAAGCAATTCTTTCCACCAAGAGAGAATCTCACGTTATATTTATCATATACACCGTGTTTCAAAAGTAGCTTTACAACTTCGCAGGAGAATATAAATGTATTTAAAGGATGTGCGCAATATTTTTAAATGCACAAATTTAGCCAAACACTTCAAGTTTCATGTGCCATACCAAGAAAGCCGGTAGGCCACATGTATCTGTAGACGCCATGGAACAGATTAGGGAGAGCTTCGCTTGAAGTCCACTCAAGTCAACGAGACGTGCATCTCAGGAAAGTGGGATTCCACATGTGAATGTGTGGCGAGTGTTACGAAGACGTTTACACTTAAGAGCGTACAGATTATCCATGGTGCAAGACATTTCAGATGGTGATAAACTGGCTCGTAAGAAATTTTGTATGGAAATGTTGCGGCAGGTTGAAGACGAAGGATTTCTGGACTCAGTAATTTTCAGTGACTGGTAAGGTCAACACCCACAACTGCAGGATTTGGGCTAGTGAAAATCCACGTGCCTTCCTGGAACATGTTCGTGACAGTCCAAAAGTTAATGTGTTTTGCGCCCTCAGCAAAGATAAAGCGTATGGCCCCTTCTTTTTCATGGAGAAGACCATTACCGGCATTGTGTATCTGGACATGCTCCAACAGTTCCTCATTCCTCAACTTGACGAAGATGACCAGGAAGGACGCATTCA